ACCCTAGTTTTTTTTAGATTTCAGTAATCACTCCTTTCAAACCCTGAAGTTAAAACAACCCAGTAACATTTTCTCAGCCCACCATTACAATTAAGCAGTACACACTACACAGACACCTCTTTCAATAATATATACTTATAATTAATCGGCCATTTATTAAAGCGAATTAAAAGTCTAATCATTATGCCTATTCAATAGCATTATCTTTTTGTATTAAAACAAAAAATATTTTTCGAAATCCAAGAGTTACGCCCTCTATCGGAGTTGTACCTGTGATCTTGAAGTAATGCTTTGGCGAAAGATCAAAGAAAATCGCGTAATAGCGTAGTGGTAAAATTGAAGGGTTTGCTTTCGGATTACCTCTTTTTTATTATACTAAAAGCATAACTAGGTACCAATGTCTTTCAGCATTGCTAATGGTGAGTTTATGATCATTGAAACCAATCAAATAGCCTTAGCTATAAACATTTGATTTTGGTATAAAATATATTCCAATGGTGTAAAAGGGATGTGAAATCGGGAACAATCAAAAGATAAACAAAAATATTTACACAAGTTATTCTATGTGGCATAAAAATACTGTATACGTATATTGAATGGTTCGGATTACCGATACGTTTATTTCTTAAACCAGATTTTCGGGAGCTACATTTACCAACTTTCAACCTCAACTTTTCAACTTTATTTCTCTTTACAAAATTATAAAAGTACAGAGAAAACATATTTTCAACAGTATAATACAATATGAAATGTTATATATGGAGGACAAATTATGTTAATGTCTGTTTGTTTTGATAAGTTTTGACACGAACCATACAGCATGGAGCAAAGCCACTGTTGGTCAGTTAATTGTGTATCAATTAACTCTCGCTTCAAAATTACGTACCATCTGTGAATTTGCTATGTCTACACAGTTTAGTATAGATGTACTATATGAACAAACAGTTCTATGTTTGACATTGTCGGCTGAAGAAACGATTGCCAAAAGACGTCTCAGAGAATACCTCAAGCCATATTGGACTCCAGAATTAGAAAACGCGCACAATGTAGCTCTAGCGAACAGGAAAGTTTGGATTAACGACGATAATAGACCCCATGGACTACAGTGTGACACATACAGTTCCTATAAAAACGCTAAAAATATCTTCCGGAACATGCATCGCAAAGCACATGATAAATGCATGGACGTGGTCAATAACGAGATAGACGAGACAGTTGATGTGGATACGCGACTATTTTGGCGAATTGTACGGAAACGCAATAATAAAGAAACCAGATGTATGCACAGAACTTGTATACGATGACATTAAAGCACGTGACCTACAAAGCATTGTAGAATTATTCGCAAGTTTTTATGAAGAACTATACGCTGACGACAAAAACATCGATGACGTACCATTCATAAAGAAAAACGGCATGGATAGCGCATTCACATTCGAGGAAATCGTTTCTGCAATCAGACTCGTGAAATCTAATAAAGCTCCGGGAATAGATATGATAACTAATGAACACATTCTCTATGGAGGAAAAGCTTTAACTGAAATCATCCAAACATTTTGGAACTCCATTCGCAACACAGGATATATTCCGAAAACATGGAAACGAGGAATTATTATTCCAGTTCATTAAGACGAGCAAAAGAAAAAAAGAATGATCCAAACAACTAAAGGCCGATATCATTACTTCCAGTTCTCTATAAACTCACGGAAAGGATTATCTGCAAGCGCATTTCGTGCTGGACGAATGGTACCCACATCGAAATCCCAAATAAAACAGCAACAAGGGGTTCAAAAATGTCTTACCTGTACAACGACATCGTTTAGGCTTCGGGAAGGTTTATACGAAGATCAAAATAGCAAGGTATATGTGGCTTCTTAGATACAAACAAAGCGTTCGACACGGTGCAACACAACGACGTGTTTAATAAACTGTATAATATAGGAATCACCGGAAACCTGTTTAGAATATACAGTGCTGTGGTACGTAATAATGCTCAATCACCTTGGTTCAGGGTTTATATATCAGTGCGACAAGGCGGAAACATTTCTGTACTTGCTTCATATAAACGATATGCTCATCGAATTGGAGATGACAAACGTTGGAGCGAAAGTGAATCTGTCGAATGAGGTAATCCATGTCTAGCAGATGACGTTACGCTTATTGCTACTAGCCCCACGCCTCTACAAACTTTACTCCACGTTGCACAAAGGTACGCCGAAAAGTGGAAATTTCATTTTAATGCATCAAAATGCAATATACCTTCCGAAGTACATGTATAAATCTGGGTTGGATTATCAATAATAACCCACTTCAAATCAAAGAGAAGGAGATATGCTTAAGATTCCTTCTCCCCTCAAATTTGAAAAACATCGATGTTGTTAATAACGCTTGCAGGAAAGGTCCATCATGCTACACACAATTATACGTATGGGGACCGATTGTGCAAAAGTTATTCTACGTTCAGTGTTATATGGGGTCGATCTATGGAACAATCTCACGAAATGCGACATTCGAAAACTAGAAACGTTTCAGCACTACGCCGTAGAGCTGATACTAAATCTTAGAACATCCACCCGTTCGGACAAATGCGATAGTTTGGTTGGACTCCACAGGATACAGAGTGAAATAGAAAACAGATAATTGTATTTCCTATGATGTGCACCTAGCAGCATTCCAAAAGAAATCTTTATTCGCAGATATTTTTCTCAAATTTATGAATGGATCAAGAACGGCGCATATGGGATGAGAACATATTGATATTTGTAAACTATGTAGGAAACCGTATAATGATACCATAAGGCATTTTATTACAGACTGTCATTGTACATTTATCTTGAGAGATACTTTCATGACAAAAGTAGTAGATTAATACGGTGTTCAGTCATATATAGCTCTCTCAAACTTAACAGAAGAATGACTACTCCAGGCAATTTTTAGAGAAGCAATTCCAGACTTTGAGTCCGAGCAGATTACCTTGACTAAGGAATTTACGAGGGACTGTGCATATTCTACGAAAAGAAGCGCAGATCTATTTTTGTGCTGATGCAGTGTAATATAAAGATTCTATGAACGAAGGAATACCGAACAGTCGTATTTTTTCCCTCACCGCGAAGTGATTAATTTTGTCATTATTTTCATTTAAATTCATATATTTTGTACTCTCAGGAACAGGCTGGTTTTAGAAAAGGGAAAGGGTGAATTGATCAGATCTCTGCACTTAAAAACATCACTGAGCAGTGCATAGAATGGAAGACACCTTAACATATTGACTTTATTGATTTCAAGAAGGCCTGCGACCGTATACATAGAAAGACTCTGTGAACAGTCCTTAGATCGTATGGAGTACCAGAAAAGGCAGTAACTGACTGTGCAGTGCTACTTAACAACAAAGCTACTGACTGGTCTGTGTCAAATCCGGAGTAAGACAGGGTCGCATCATTTCATTCATATTATTCCTTGTAGCCATTGACTGGATGATGAGTAAGACCATCAGCGACAAAAAGAGAGGCATCACATGGTCCATGTTTACAACACTAGAGGACCGTGACTCTGCCGATGATATAGCTGTCCTGTCATCAAAACAAGACCATATTCGGGAATTAAATGACAAAGCCGGCTAAGCCTCAGTCATTTTGCAAGAAAAATTGGACTAGAACTCAATGCCAAGAAATGCGGCTAAACACTACATCAAACTTGAGACTAGATGCTGAGAGCATATAGGAAGCCAACAGGTTGACAAGTCCTCATATCTAGGTACAGTTGTCAGCACAGAAGACCCAACACAAAAAGACATTAAAAGTAGGCTGGCCAAAGCAAGATCTGCATTCCAAAGATTACGACCCTGTTATAAGTCCAAACAACACAACCGGAAGACAAAGATAAGGCTATATAGCAGCAATGTAAAATCTGTCCTATTCTATGGAAGTGAATGCTGGAGAGTTACAAAAACAAATATGAGGGCACTGTCAAGTTTCTACAGCAGTTGCCTGAGGCAAATTTGTAGAATTTTCTGGCCGAACCGAATCTCAAATGAACACCTAGACATGACAAATTCCACATGCGTTATCCAACATATACAGCAGAGGCGCTTAAGATGGCATCTTTCATGATGCCAGGATCAAATATTACCAGGACATCCCTTAGATCGACACCCCAGGGAAAAACCAAGAGGCAGACCAAAGTCCGCATGACGCAGAACCATCGAATCTGAGCTGACCTGCGGAGAAGCTAGAACTAAGGCTAAAGACAGAACTGGATGGCGAAATCTCGCGACGACCTTATGCTCCGGCCGGAGCGAAGAGGATAGGTACTGTAGGTAGGTAGGTAGGTACTCTCATTTTTGAGGAATATAGAATGATGATGATGATGTTCGTTTTTTTTGATAAGTAAGTAAATTTTTGTGGTTTCGTTTACAATCATTAAAGTGCCTACCCCATCTCTAATTTGATGGATGCCGTTATAACCCCCCCCCCCTAATCCTTTAAACTCTCCATTGCATCCAGTAAAAGTACCATTCATCAGCATCTTTCGTTGTTATAGCATTGAGATTTATATCTATATCTGCAGTGTAGAGTATTCTTAAACTATTTTAACGACACTTTGACGTTAGATAAGACCCTAGAAATGTCTTACTGCATACTGCTTGTTTTTATATCAATCAGCATATGAATTGATCAACTATGATTAAGACTTGTTCACTTTGTGGTAGATCGTTGATGGAACGAAACACTAATTCTTGTAATCTGCTGTACTAACTTAGCCTGAATACTGTGTGTTTGGAAATGTGCATCTAGTGTTATGCCATTATCTACCACATTTTATTTAACGTGTCAATTTGGAAATAGAAAAATCCTGTTTTTTGTGTAACTGGCGTGAGGCAAGTGGTAAACGAAACCCATATTAAAGTGGAATCTTGTATTGACATTTTGATCAAACTTAACAAGTCTGTACGAACGCGCCAGTTTTGTGACCTAATGGTGCTCATCGAACGCACCGGAAGAGATAGTGGGAGTAAACACTGGGATGATGGATGCTGGCGGCCGACAAGGAAAATGACACTTTTTGAAACACTCTAAGCTTATTTAACACATGTCTGTCAGCGATCCACTCCTTCGGGAGTTGAAGGGTATGAGTAATTATTGAAACATCCTTAAAAATCGTCTATAATTTCAAATGCTTTCTATCTACGACTACATACTGTATGCATTGCATCGCATTGCCATCGTGACATTTCGACACGCATCGATGACCAGGTTGTAGGACTAAGCTGGATCACGTTCAGTGTAACCACGGACCTAGATAGAAAATTTAATATAATTCCGTGGTGTTACTGAATAAGACAGGCATATGCATCTGGTATGTAAATATGTCAAAATAAATTATATAATTGTCTTCCCTATCCTACTATTTTGACGTAGAGAAGACAGTTTTATATTTTCACATACTTACATACCAGATGCTCTGGTCGCAGAACCCGTTAAGGTATAAACGTGACATGGGAGAGAGAGCTGTCTAAGGTACTAGTCCTGCGGCCTGAGAGCTGTCTTAAAGCCAGCCACAGAGCTCACACACACAACTTCGTCAGGAAGTTTGTTTCACTCCAGAGTGGTGGATGGGAAAAGGGAGTTTTTGAAAAGTGCAGTATTGCACACTGTCAGTTTAAAGCTTTTCAAATTCAATTCAAGTCTATTTGGTAAAAAGGTACAACAACATAACAATCTCATACAGTACCCTATACATGTTTTGGCACTAACAATTTATATGGCTGATAACATTATAAAACATATTAATGTAAAATTATATAAGTCTAAAAAAAGTTATCACAATTTGATAAATTACAAGATAGGTAATGGTTATTCGTACAAAAAATAGAATAACTAAAATATATGTTACCCTTAAAACCAGGATTACCCAGAAAGCCCTGAAGCTTATTTCTTCTGGGGTCCATTAGAAGACACATAAACATACTATAGCTATTATATTTTGAGGATAACTTAATTTTATGTTGAAACTGATGTTAATATATAGGTTGTAACTTAAAACACATTGCAATGAAGTACAGCACCCATATTGTGTACACACTCACATATTCACATACACACATACACAAACATATGTATATAGAACATATTACGTTAATAAAATACAAATATCTGATCCTGTTCTCTTTTAAGTTTTTCGAAAAGATGTTTTTTGATCGCAACTTTGAATGATGAATTTACTCTTGATCTTCCTGATACTTTCTGGTAAAGAATTCCAATCTTTAGCAGCATTGTAATAAAACGTGGTAGATTCTGTCCCGCTCACATTTGGAATATAAAAATTGTATTCACTATATTTTGTATAGTGTTGCTGCAGTTCTGTTAGCCTTTTGAAGTCAGTTTTTAAATAGGAGGGGCAATTGTCATTAAAATTATTAAAAGCATGGTTTACTCTGAGTTGTTTTACTCTGTTGCAAACATTAAGCATATTTAGACTAGAGAATTCATCATAACCAATTCTGGACCTGGAATCTAATTTAAAAATAAATCTAATAACTTTATTTTGTGAAACCTGCAGTCTTTGTTTTAGTGTTTTAGTTAAACCAGAGTACCAGGATGAGCAAGAGTAATCAAAATGACACTGTATTATGGCTGAGCATAAGATTTTCCTGGTGGATAGTGGAAGAGAACTTTTAGAGTTGTTAAACAAATGGTTTTCGACTATGTTTTTTGTGTCACAATCCTGGTATCTTTTAGGTTTAGTTTGTCTCCTTCCTGACCGAAACGCAGTTAGAAAATCCTGAGGGGGCATGGCTGGCACCAGCCCAGCCCCTCCACCACCTTGTAGAAGAAGACCAGTCTGTTTATCTTTCTCCTTTCCCCTGGAGCGGTGGTAGGCCCAGGTCCCTTAGCATCCTAGTTACACGCCTGTTCCCATGTGGTGTAGTCATTCGTAATGAACCTTGCAGCTTTCCTCTGTACCTGTTCAACTATTTCAGTGTCATTTGCTTACATGTAAGGATCCCAGACCACAGAACTATATTCCAGTGTTGATCTTATCAAGACAAGATATACTGTTTTTCTTCAGTCCTGTGGACAGGCTTTAAGGTTCCTCCTCAAAAAGCCCAGTACTGAGCTAGCGTTTTTGGATACCTTTGTGATGCGGGCACTGATGCCTATGCCTGTGCTACAACACAGCAGTTTAGGTCCAAACTAAGCTAAGCTGTAATAAATTATCAGCTCCCAGAGGGTTGACCTGTTGATTAGCAGGTACCCATGTGACAAGCTCAGTTGGCAGCCTAGGACATCAGTCTTAGTTTGGAGATCTTCTTTTTTTCTTCTTTTTTTCTGGCTCAGTGGTATGTTTAACATTTTTAGCCCACCATCATCTGATGGTGGGCTATTCAAATCACCCTGCGTCCGTGGTCCGTGGTCCGTCCTTAAACAATTCTTGTTATCGCTATTTCTCAAGAAGTACCAGAGGGATCTTTCTCAAATTTTATATGCAGGTTCCCCTTGGTCCTTAGCTGTGCAGGGCAACTTTTGAGACTGATCGGATAAACAACATGGCCGACAGGCAGCCATCTTGGATTTTGATAGTGAAAGTTTGTTATCGCTATTTCTCAAGAAGTACCAGAGGGATCTTTCTCAAATTTTATATGTAGGTTCCCCTTGGTCCTTAGCTGTGCAGGGCAACTTTTGAGACTGATCGGATAAACAACATGGCCGACAGGCAGCCATCTTGGATTTTGATAGTGAAAGTTTGTTATCGCTATTTCTCAAGAAGTACCAGAGGGATCTTTCTCAAATTTTATATGTAGGTTCCCCTTGGTCCTTAGCTGTGCAGGGCAACTTTTGAGACTGATCGGATAAACAACATGGCCGACAGGCAGCCATCTTGGATTTTGATAGTGAAAGTTTGTTATCGCTATTTCTCAAGAAGTATCAGAGGGATCTTTCTCAAATTTTATATGTAGGTTCCCCTTGGTCCTTAGCTGTGCAGGGCAACTTTTGAGACTGATCGGATAAACAACATGGCCGACAGGCAGCCATCTTGGATTTTGATAGTGAAAGTTTGTTATCGCTATTTCTCAAGAAGTACCGGTGGGATCTTTCTCAAATTTTATATGTAGGTTCCCCTTGGTCCTTAGCTGTGCAGGGCAACTTTGAGTCTGATCGGATAAACAACATGGCCGACTGGCAGCCATCTTGGATTTTGATTGTATAGGTTTGTTACTGCTATTTCTCTGGAAGTACAGAAGGGATCTTTCACAAATTTTAAATGTAGGTTCCCCTTGATCCCTCATTGTGCATGTTATATTTTGAGACTGATCATAAAAATAAAATGGATTAAAAGAAGAACTAAACAGATCTTTCTCATATTGCAATGATTGATTCTATTTCTTTCACATTAAGTACTGTACTAGTAAATATGTGAAATGACAAACTCACTTTGAAGGTTGACTTTCATACACATCAGTATTAAGTTTAGATCAAAAGTTACCTCAAGGTGCATTTACTGTTAACATGACTCGATCAAACAGATTAGAGGAAAGAAGAGAAAGGATCGAACTGACAAAGAACTAATAAAGATGGTACAAAGGTGGGCGCCAAGATCCCTCTGGGATCTCTTGTTCTATCACATATCATCTGATCCTGATTGTCAGCTTTCACATGTATCACAAAATCTTTTATTGCAGGAATTGTTTTGGAACTTCGAACCAAAAATGAAACTGTCTGTGATAGAACACCAACACTGCTGAAGCTTAGTAAGAACCTCGAAGAAATCTTCAGTAAAGGTCTGAAAAGTAAGTATGGGCAGCTGTTAACTAGATAATGGCTGCAGTATTTCTTTAGATAATTTAAAAATAAACTTTATTCATTTTACAACAATCATAAAACAAGTTATTTAAACTTATATTAATCACTCTTGTTGGTTCAGATGTTAGCGCATGTGGGAGGAAATCAGAGTACCCCGCGGAGAAAACCCACATGGTCGCGAAGGTGACCCTATACCTTTTCATGTTTGATTGGGGAATCAAACCCTGGGTATCTTGGTAAAAGGCAATTGCTCTATCCACTGCACCACATGACCACCCAAAATGATTTTATTTATGCAATTTCAATTTTCAATTCTTATTTCAAAACCGAATCACAAGGATTTAAAAAGAAAAATATCTGCACTGTCCAATTATAATATATTGCAGATCCTGGTTGGTTTGGGAAGTGTGGCTATTGGACATGGATAAGCAAGCTCACCAACATTTCCAAACAAAGGTATGATTCAATAATGAAGTGTTACTGATTGGAGTGTCACTATAGGTTCCGGTTCATGTCACATTATATAGCCATGACTTTTAATGTGATAACACTGCAGGTTTGGTGAAAACTTAATGAGCCACAGTAACTCGTATCTATTTTGTATGCTTACTTCTTTTATTTTGGTCATTCATTGGAATAAAAGGAAAATGTAAAATTGAAATGAATTCAATTATCAGGAAATGGTACGGTGCAACATACAATAATATTAAAATCCACATTTATAAACAAGAGAGGAAAGTATCCTTTAAATTGGTATTTCAACAAATAAAGGACTGAAATGTATCAGAAAGTGTCAAAACTGGCATGAATTGATATGAAGAAAAATATTTTAAATGATGTCATAAGCTGTCAAAAATGAATTTTAATGATGGAGTGTTCCTATCGGGTACCCTTGCATGGTTAAAATGTTCATGTATACCTGAGTCTGACTCAACTTCAAGGACTTTGTTTATAGATGAAGACGCTTCTGATATCTAAGAGGTGCACAAAATGAAAGCTAAAGGTGTCTACTGTTTTATTATTTCAGAAACAATCCCATCTTATCAATGGTTATAGACTCGGTCAAAGAATCAAAGAAGGTAAGTACGGGTAGGTTATTGTAATTACAGTGAGTACATGTGGGTTGAGGAAATGAAAAATTCATGCGGAAACCTGAGGTGCTTTTGTTTATCTCAATAAAATTATGTTTATGAGTGTATGTAGTTATATTGGGTCAAACAACCTTCTGTTTCTTGTTTGATGATAAAAACCTGTACATTTTGTTGACAACTGTTGCAAAACAGGTTAGATTTAACAGTCTTTGCAGACAGCAAATTTATCTTATTTCAGTGTTTTGAAGTTGACACACTTTATATGTATACATGCAAAAAGTTTTTTGAAAACTAAATATAGTAATAGCGTTCCTCCATTACAAACTTTCATGCATGTAGTCACAACTGTGTGATTCTATTTAGAACCTACAATAAGAAACAAACACCCTGTAATTCTCCTGTACTGGTCAAGCAATTCTCCTGTACTGGTCAAGTAATTCTCCTGTACTGGTCAAGCTTAAAGTTTGATAATTGGCTTAGTTCAAATCAGTGACTCATTTTAAAGGGTTTGGTATTTGCATTCTTGACCAAACACTATGTAGCTTTATGTTTTTTTTCAAACAGGTGTTCAGCAGTTGTGGGCGTGGCAGATTGTTCATTCGGTCAGCTCTGGTCAAGAAAGTCTTAGCTGTCCCTGTACAACTTCTGGCTAAGGACCATCAGCTTGCTCAGGTAAGAACAAGTGTGGCAAGTTATGTATGTAATAACAGGTAGAAAAACTTGGACTCTGTGTAATAACAGATATGGAAGGTTATACTCTCACATAAGTACAGGTTTAATAGATGGTATGTAAGAGTTCAAGTTGTGTGGTATAATATTTACTGATACTTTAAAGTAGAATTTCATTTGAAGATATTGTACAAATGATTTTGGTAATTTTTGAACACATCTTTAATATTATTAGCATAAAAGATAAAAAAAACAATGACATGAAATATAATATGTATGATATTTTGTTGTAAAAGTATTCCTGGCAAAATCGAACTTGTAGAAGTAAATCTCCCTCTAAGTCAAACAGATAATTCAGTGCTTAACAAAATAATCTGTATTGCTTTCTTTATATAAAATGTATCACCCAGGAAACACTGGTGCTTTTAGTAGACCTAGTGAGCTCAGGTTGAGCAGGTATTATTGAACTGTATTTAAAGTTCCAACAGAACAGTTTACAGTTTCACGTTTGTTCTTTGTAGGAGTGGTATACAAACAATTCCATTCTTGGGGATGAAATACTGTCAGGTAAGTGTACTACCATAATAGAAACAAAAATTGAAATACTGATAAGTAACCTTGGTTACAGTAACAGGGACATTAAAATTCTAGATGGTATGTATACAATTTGTAAAAAAACGTTGATCGTTTTTATTGTTATTACTATTGAATTTTCATATTTTATAAAAATCTGGAAATAAATTTTGCAGTCCTAGAACATAAGCCTCATGAGCGGTTGACAAAAGTCTGGGTACTGGTACTTTTCTGCGCTTTTTATGTCATTGGCAACAAAAATTGTATCTCTGTTATACAGTTATTTAACACATCATTTTCTATTACAGAAATTTTCCAGTCTCTCCTTTTTGAACTGACAGAAGTTCCATTCCAATTACAAGTAAAGGTAAGAAGTTCCCCACTACCGTAGAGGATGAAACATGGAGTTATACTCTGTCCGTATTAGATATTCTGTCTTCCATATTCTGTCTTCCATATTCTGTCTGTCATCTTTTTCCCAAAGTTTGTCACTTCTCCACCTGGAGTTATCAAGTGTGGTACGAAGGTATATGTACATCTTGTGATGTCACTTCTCCACCTGGAGTTATCAAGTGTGGTACGCAGGTATATGTACATCTTGTGATGTCACTTCTCCACCTGGAGTTATCAAGTGTGGTACGCAGGTATATGTACATCTTGTGATGTCACTTCTCCACCTGGAGTTATCAAGTGTGGTACGCAGGTATATGTACATCTTGTGATGTCACTTCTCCACCTGGAGTTATCAAGTGTGGTACGCAGGTATATGTACATCTTGTGATGTCACTTCTCCACCTGGAGTTATCAAGTGTGGTACGCAGGTATATGTACATCTTGTGATGTCACTTCTCCACCTGGAGTTATCAAGTGTGGTACGCAGGTATATGTACATCTTGTGATGTCACTTCTCCACCTGGAGTTATCAAGTGTGGACGCAGGTATATGTACATCTTGTGGTGGTGAATTGTTGTGTATCAAACTTGGTTAATCATTGAAATAGTTTATTGGGAGCACAATAACTGGGCACTTTATTTATCAAGATTTTTTTAATGCAGGTTAAGGTGGCTCCAAACTTTAGCAATTAACCAGCAAAATTCGTTGAAACTTTCATATAATGGTTATGCAACTATGTAGAGTTGATTTTATCAAAATCTAAACATTCCGATAGTTTGGGGACTTTTTTGGAAAAAATACCAAAAAAACATTTTTTTGTCAATTTTAATATTTTCCGTTTATTTTTGTGTGTGGCATTGTTCGGAACAATAACAACAATAATAAAAGGAAAAGAAGCATTTCTAATTAACCCTACAAATATTTTATTTATCGCAAAATATGTAACACATGTTACTCAAAGTGTTTTTTATTGAATTTGTACGGATAAAAGTGATTATCTACAAGCTAAAAGCAAACAGGACACAAAGATCTATACATATAGAATGGGAAATTGAACAAAATANTCCGTCAGTCATGTACACTTTAGACATCATTCCACAGTCCGCTAACTCACGGTATAGTTATAATTACATGTCAGGTACATATGTGACCAGAGGCTATCGAATGGTATGCCGTTCTCACGTGCACTCACACATGCATTTCATAGGTATCTTGATATTTTACAAAACATTATTTTCTCAGAGTAAGTAGACTACATTTGTAAACACGATTTAATCGACAGAGCGAAACTCCCTCAACAGCGAAAATCGTAATGACCTCGAGCTTATGAACTCGTGTAAGCACGTGATATGCACATGTGAGGTCGGTACGTCAGCATTCCATGTGTTTCCTATATGATCTTCTTGAGGTCGTCTGGTCTCATGCCACTGCCTTCCCGTGAGTCTGTTTATGTCTATGAATTGGAAAGCTTTATTCCTGAAGTACGTGTGATTATATATTTCCTGGTAAAATCTCGATATCGGGTGTTGACATCATCGGCTCGCATGTATACTATTGTTTACCAGGGGCCTGTTCGTTTATGCGGAACAACCGGTTTGACCGTTTATAAATGTAACAATTTCGGGTATAAATCCTGGGGGACCTGCAAATGTGTATGCAGGCCTTGCAAGGCTTTCTCAAGGCTCGCCTGAAAGCAGCATCAGATTACTAGGTCCGGCCTTATTTAATAAACGAACAACAGTGGGCCGATTGGTTTGACCGTTTAAGCGAAAACAGCCCTGGTGTTACTATAATACGCAATATGGAAATGACGACACAGTGTACATGCACACTTCGATCAAGATAATTGAGTCCGAGCTGTACTTTTTCAAGAAGTACGTCACGAAAATGGACGCTGATGACGATGTGTGGAGCCACCTTAAATAGGGCTTCACATCTGATTGCCATTGTTTATGTTTGGAACCTTACATCTTATTAGATCTCTGCTTAAAAAAACAAATGTATAAAAGCCATAATTAATTCTTTCTTCAGGCATCAATATATTTTTGTTTTTGTTTTTATTTTTTTACAGAATGCCAGCTTTTTAGACAACACTTGGGATTTAGCAGTAAGTATAGTTCTATTTAAAATACCAGTTTCTCTTAATCACATGCATACTATTAGGAAGTAATATTGGTATGATTACAATGATTTGTATTAGAAGTTTACACATATACTTTTGTGTTGATACCAATGAAACAATCATCTTATAACTTTATTGATTAATGTGTATTATGAAATCTATGTATGTGTACCTGGTGACCTATTGTACATGTGTGTATATCTCTATTATAGATTTACAGGAAGTTTGAGTTCGTGCCGTGTGATGACCTCGGACTACACGTCCAGTAAGTCCATAGTTACCTGTGATAAGCTTGGAGTCTAGCCTTTTAAGGCATCTGAAATGGGATTTTTTATTTTTTTTTACTTTCTTTACAAATAATATACATTGTATGATAATATACTTTGTATTAGGTATGAAGAAATCCTTGGTAAACACTGGTATCTCAGAAATACCGGTAGATACAGGTCAAAGTATCAAAAGTGCTGCAAAGAAACTATGACTGAGAATCAGTGGGTATACTTGGATCGTGAAAATCAAGTTTTAAGTGTGCTCTGTCACCTAAATGTTTTCCAATCTGAGACCATTTGGGTCTTTCATTTATACTTTCACTAGTTTAATCAAAAATTTGTAGACTGTAGATTAAATATAAAACGTCATTGTGATAAAACATTGGTGAAAGCGTGTTTCCTTGGTGACAGGTTGGTTCAGGGACATTTACTGGTGGTATCCGTGGAGCCAGGCAGTGTGGTAGAGGAAGATGTGAGTATACAAGACAGATTGCGGAAGTTAAAATCACTTGTATGTAGAAAGGAACTGGGCATATAGAGTGACTGGGTAGGTGTACATTACACCAAAGTCAAACTGTTGGAAAATCATTGCTTTCTAAATAAGGGAAAAATCAGAAGATAAATATTTTCATGTCTGCAATCCTTTAAGAATAATTATACCTGGTGAGGTAACAGTACAGATTGCAGAATAAAATTGATATTTTTCAATGGTATTGAATATCAAATGATAAATTTCATATTTGTTCTTCAATTCCGAGGTGGATTTTCAATGAATGTAAAAGACAATTGTCAATATCGACCAGCCATTTCCAACATTATAATTATGACGTCACAACTGTATTGTAGTCATGATCATCACTGTAGATTTATGGGGTCATATCAACTCACAGCTGACGTTGGTAGGTTTAGAGAGTGACAACGCAGAGGAACTGTAGATTTAAGACTTTCCCTTGTTGAGACCCGTTGGGAAGACATTAGAGATTTTACATAAGAAATGAATTATCTGTTTGGTGTTAAGAGGGGTAGATGACCTGTTTGGTGTTAAGAGGGGTAGATGACCCACGTCAAGTGGAGTAATTGTGAATGTAACACATAACAAATATACAAAGAACAATCCATGACATCTTTAATCACAATATTAAGCTTTATCATTTTCCTCGTCCCAACTTATTTGCTATTGTTGTCCTTAATATTTAATTTTTGACACATTTTCAAGTATTTACAGTACCACTGGGATGTTATGTACACATGTGTTAGAGATTCCTTGTACTATTGGTATAATGACACTGGGATGTTCTGTTGATAGGGAAAGATATCCCTCGGTGATGTGCTGGATGAACTGTACAAACAGCCTCTGAAGAACAACAAGATATCCTATGTAAGTTAGGAGTCTTTAACAAATCTGCATCAATTATCATGGTCAATCATGAGTCTATAATTTAGAAAATTTTGAGTCAGCAAATCAGCAACGAGTCAACATAAATTAGGGGGTGGTCGGTTGGTGCAGTGGATAGCGCACTTGTCTGTCACCAAGACAGCTGGGGTTCAATTACCCGATCAAATGTGAAAAGGTATGGGGTCACCTGCCCGACCACCTGGGTTTTCTCTGGGTGTTTCGGTTTCGTTCCATATTAGGACCCCACACACTAACATCCAGGCCGACAAGAGTGACTAATATAAGTTTAAAACATAACTTGTTTTCATGATTTTTGTAAAATAAATAAAGTTTATTTAACATAAATTTCCATGTGTCAGCAATCGCTTAACATAAGTAACGATGGGTGTAGCTATGATTTCATAATAAGGTCCAGGATTATTTCAAATTAAAAAGTAGGCTTATGGAAGTTACAATGAGTCAGCTCTAAGTCAGTACAAATTAAAAATCACCATCTTTCAAGTTAACATGCCTTTCTCGTTAGTTGGGAAGCACTTAGTTATGCTAAGCACTTAATATGAACTGGTTGTGTTCCAGTATGTTACAGATTACTGTGGAGCTAAATCACGATGCATGAAACTTAAAATTTGTCTCTAATGCGTGGTAATATGAGAACGCCAATATAAGTACATTTACCTTATCTATTTTATTTAAACTGTCCTCTGGTTTTTTTCCAGGCACACAATCTATTGCACAAATATCGTGGTCTTCCAGTGCATATGAGTGTTGTAAAGGTAAGTTGGTTTTTCCCCCATTTCTCTGAAATATCATAGAGTTTAAATGAAAGGCTTAACAACATAATATGAGCAGTCTCAAAATAAAGCATATGTAAGGCATACTCAAGGTTTGTTAACTTACCTGTAGTTTATGCTGATGGTAGATTTTTTTTTTCCCCTCTGATACTGTTCATGAAGTGCACAAGGAGCAGTTATAAAAATTCTTTGACAATATAATACTTCCTGCTTTAGTACAACTCCAGTGACACAAGTGATCCTATTCTTAACTCATTTAAGATTAGATTCGACAACAGCTGGGAGATATTATACCACTTTAGATCATGGCTTACTGTAAGACTACTTATTTTAGCAGACTCAAACTTAGTGTACTTTGTAACTTTAACAGATTAGTTCATTGATAAATTGGTGCACTCACAAACTATGCAAGAAAAACTATACTCAGAAACTTCAATTAGCAAGGTCATAAATTAGCACGATGTTCTAAGCGCGAAAAGTGCTGAAAATTGAATACCATTGAAATTTGTACATTTAAGTAAAAGGAGGTTCTATTTAGGACAGTTACCCTATGTTACTTTAAGAAGATAATATGTCAGTATGTTCTGTTACAGTACCAGGATAGGGAAGGTAACTTGTACCAGCCCATTATACCACTGTTGGGGGAGTGTGGTATAGACCCCCTCAGTTTAGGGGGACCCTCTGCCTGGCAAGATCACGCACACACCCTCAATGGAAACAAGAAACCCCCACACGCTATACTGGAGGAAGACGAGGACACAGAGATACCTGTACACGGCTCAGACGGAGGGTCAGTATTCACAGGACCTCTATCATACTGCTACAGTTATCCCAGCAGAGTTTTAGTAAAATTGTACTGCTACAGCTGTTTTAGCAGACTTTTACTTTTAGGAAAATCATAGTTATATGGATACTAGCGTATTCCGTCTTTGCATATTGCAGAGTTATCTTCTCTTGTGAGCAGGTATTGATTGTTACGTCATTGGTTTGATATTTAGATATCTTCACAAAGGAACGAGAGATAATATAAACACCTGGAATTCCTTACACAGAAAAGATATTTATAAACATACAAATTGAAGGTATTTGAAATACCTTCCAGTAATCTTTCTTTGATTTAATTTTTCAGTGCTTTGTATGAAGCATCTTATCTTGGCCATGCTATACTAGGAAAGGTAAGTAAGCTTATAGATATCATACCAGGAATAGTCTCCTGTAGGATTTAATGTTAGGTAAAAGTTCAGCATCACCATTCCTACACAACGATGGGTTACCAACAACAGATCAAATTTACAAGCTTTCTCTTGATAATATAATTTTTTAATTCGGTGTATTTGCGAAACCACATTCTTTTTCTAGGAGAAGATAACTTTTACATCAGGGGTCATTTCAATGACTTAACCTTGTAACTGAATATGACTTTTACACAGAAAATATTGTTGAAGTTCCTGAATATAACTGTTATACACAGGTCCTTGGATTTTTTACAAATAAAAGCATGTCTTTGGACTATCTGCCATATTGTGTGTTGTATTTGTAAAATCTAAGGCTGCATGTTGGGTCTCAGTGATATTTATGTCAGACAGAATTTTCCGTAAACTGTTTGAGAGCTGGAGTTATAACTGTTGTAGGACGGCCGTGTACAGAGAATAGAGGATGCTGTGTCACTTGTTGTAAGGAGTAACAAAAGGAAAAGGGTGAGGAAATCATCGTTATTCTCCGTGGAGATGATCTCTAGTGCTTCTAGTAGCATTTAGATTTCAACAGGGATAGATATAATTGATACACATTCTTAATCGAGGGATGTTATAAAAATAGGTATTTTTCAATTTCTTGCATATTATGTGAAAATCTGTATTACCTGGGTATTATGAAATAATACTCTGTTGGTATTCAATGCTGAACTTTTAGCTGGAACTCTGTGTAACGGAGCCGCCTAGTCACTTCATTCAATATTGTCTCCGTCTAGTTCTAGACTAGATCGTTTGCTGGTAGCGCAAAACAATGATCTTACACAAGACTCGCAAAAGCCAGCTGGTAACGCTCGACTTGAACCGTAGTACTGGTAGCATACTTTGTAGAACTAACATGAAGTATTAAGTAAACTCAAGTTTTGTGTACCACATAGACTAATTTTATTAAATGACACATATATAGTATGTTATTCTGAATATCCTTCACACAAATCTTTACATAGTAGTCATACAACAAACACACTAACCTTATCCTAGGTCTCGACACTGAAGTCTCCGGTACTGTAATTCCGGTAAGAAATCCACGTATGAGTAGAATATAATATATATATAAAGCTTTCCTAATGAAAGTGACAAAGTTATGAGACTGAATAAGTTATGTTAATTTAGGTTTCAAAGGCCGAAAGAAGTATAAATGATGTCCGAATAATGAAGTCTAAGTGTATACGTAAAAGTCAATAAATCTCTATGTCTAAAAGTCTGTAAGTCTAACGAAAATACAAACGCTCGCTCTTTTATACTCACTCTCAAGCACAACAACAAATCAAAACATCGTATGTCGGTCCTAGAATAAACAACCAATCGAATAACTGTAAATAAACATCGCGTTTATTTACCGAACTCGAACATTCATAAACTCCCGCTATTCGGTGATCGCAACTCTAAGACCGGAAATACGTAACAACTGTCACTCTCCGTACATGCGCACTCTCACAACAATGGCAGCCTCCATCACACTACAGAACACGCACCAAGACTCGTCGATAAGACGGTAACTACAGTTATAATACATGCAATTATCAAGGTTTATATGAAAGGTTCAATTAATACATCAACAATACAACTATATATATCATCCAAGCGACACAGCGCCCTTACTTTGTTCTAAAATAACACTTTACCATTACCACTCAACATTCCTCGTGGTATAACCTAAACACTCGTAAATCTGACATATCATATTTAACTCAAAGTCTCTCTCTCTCTGCCATTGTCGACGACTCACACTATCAATAATAAATGTAATCATACAAAATATACAAGAATGATTTGTTGTTATTTCATTGAATAAGCAAGGTGCCATAGTGGTACATAAATATGTATAACATAAAACATGAGTGTCAACTTCGTTACTTCATGTACCCATGGCGGTAATCATTTGAATTGCACCAGATTTTCAACTTATAAGGGACATTTTGTCAACAACACCCTTGAGTATAAAAATTATGAAACCATGTTTGAAATATATTCTTGAATCTTTGTGTAAATATAGGAAGCATTTAATTGATCTTCTTAGGCAAAGATGTGTTGATATACAATGTCAATTGGAACTTTGAGGAATTTCTTTATACCTCCAGAGAGTGAAGCTTGATCTGCGGGAAAAGGAAATCTATGTCTCTGATCTGACAGATGATACGGTATGTACATTAAACTCTGTTAAAGTTTTACATCACCTGTGTATTGATTTTTATTATTTTAGAAAGGTTATGCTTAACATGTTTTATTTAAACTAAGCAGTATTACGTTATGAGTGACCTATATCTTGCTTCAGTTGGTACTACAGCATGCCTACACGGCCATATCTGCGTGTGGAAGACGAACTGACGCCCTGACATACATTGGTTATATTGCTGGGTATGTACATTAAAAAATATGTCATGTTTTATATTTGAAAAATTCCTGTAACTTAACCTTAAATGATTATTGCTTTGTTGGGCTTAACTATCATTTAGTAACCTCGTCTACAATTTGTACCTTCAGAATATATCAAGATTTGGTACAATGTAATAGACATTCCACAACAATTGACCAAGATTAGCGGTCATAATGTAAGTCAAACAGCGGTCAAGATTAGCGGTCATAATGTCAGTCAAACAGCGGTCTACATTCAGTCTGCACAGCTTCGATTAAAGTGTCATATTTCATTTTACATGAAACTTGGTACATGTAGTCAGACAACAGGACAGTATACAGTGCAAAAGCCCCACAACATTTCCTTGTATTGACACAATTAGTTTATTTCTAAGTCGAGTATGTACCAGGGAAAAGCCACCCGTTCCACTGATTCTCTTGTTGTAGATATACAGGGCCAACTTTGTTCTTTTGTTGCCAGGGAGACGACCTGTAGTCTTGCCAAGGACTTTGTGTGTCATGTATTTGAGATGCAAAATGATGAAGAGGTGAGCGTGGAAAGCTTTTACATGACTCAGTTTTTGACCCAGGAAAGAATGATAAACAGTTATGCTTCCATATAAGACCTACATTCATTGTGATGTAACACAGTATTGTTTGTGTGATCAAAGATCTATCAGAAAGTTGTGACCTTTAAATTAACAAATATAAATGTTCCCGATGTGTGACTTCTGAGTATGTAGTATTATAGGCACAAGAGACAGGTGAAGCTGTGGTGTAGTTTAGTGTGATTTTACCTATAAGTATATTTACAAATAGATGGTAATTCTTAGAGACTATATTCAGTGCTTTACCAATGTGTAATATTTACTGAGTAGGGCCTCAGATTGGCCATTATGAGATATAATATATATGCCAAAAATCGTTAACTGTACCCTGTGTTTCTCATTCCAGGCCAGGCTGGCATTGTGTACTATGGGTAAGCTTATACATACTGTTATTGTGTATAATGTTGTTCCAACTTTTTAATTATCCTCATATCCACAGTATATTCACCCTATCTATTATAGTTGTAATGAAATCAATTTAGCTGAATTAAACATGAACAATTGAAATGCTTTTCCATAAATCACTCAATTTGTGAATAATATGAACTAGTGAAATGAATAATTATAAAGACAGATATACAGTGGAACCTCTAAAATCAGCCACCTCCATAGTACAGCCACTGCTGTAATCCAGCCACCTATATAATCCAGCCACCTCTGTAATCCAGTCGACTCTATAATCTAGTCAGTTCAAATCCAGTCAGCTGTAATCTAGCAACCTTTGTCATCCAGTCAACTCTATATAATAATCCAGTCACCTCTGTAATCCAGTCAACTCTATATAATAATCCAGTCACCTCTGTAATCCATTCAACTCTAAATAATAATCTAGTCACCTCTGTAATTGTAGTCAAATCTGTAATCCAGCCACCTCTCTAATCAAGTCACCTTTATAATCCAGTATCCAGACAACTCTATAATCTAGCCACCTTTGTCATCCAGTCAACTATAAATAATAATCCAGTCACCTCTGTAATCCAATCAACTCTAAATAATAATCCAGTCACCTCTGTAATCTAGTCAACTCTATAATCTAGCCACCTTTGCAATCCAGTCAACTCTATATGATAATCCAGTCACCTCTGTAATCCAGCCACCTCCACATTTGTAACCAGACACCTCTGTAATACTGCCACCCCTAAATATAGACACCTCTGTTTCCTGGTACTTTCCAGCAAAACTGGCTGAATTGTGGGATGGCTGGAAAACTGGGACAGATTTGTATTTCAAAGGTCCAATCTGTCCTAAAAGCACCTGACTGGATGGTGAGACAACTGTTTTAAGCATGGTAGCTGGATAGTTGTACATTAGGATAAGAGGTGGTTGGATTGTAGGACAAGAGGATTTGTGATTGCCATAAAGTGGAGCGAGATAAGTGGTGGCTGGATTTTGGGAAAACTAAAGTAGTGGTAGCTAGATAGTTGGACAGCAGGATTAGTGGTGATGGGTGGTGGACAAAACTATAACTACAGGATTAGTGGTGATGGGTGGTGGACAAAAAGATCAGTGGTGTTGGATGGTGGTACAACTGTTACTACAGGATTAGTGGTGATGGGTGGTGGACAAAAAGATCAGTGGTGTTGGATGGTGGGACAACTGTTACTACAGGATTAGTGGTGATGGGTGGTGGGACAACTGTTACTACAGGATTAGTGGTGATGGGTGGTATAAAAATAGATCAGTGGTGCTGGATGGTGGGACAACTGTTACTACAGGATTAGTGGTGATGGGTGGTATACAAATAGATAGGTGGTGCTGGATGGTGGGACAACTGTTACTACAGGATTAATGGTGATGGGTGGTATACAAATAGATCAGTGGTGCTGGATGGTGGGACAACTGTTACTACAGGATTAGTGGTGATGGGTGGTATAAAAATAGATCAGTGGTGCTGGATGGTGGGACAACTGTTACTACAGGATTAGTGGTGATGGGTGGTATACAAATAGATCAGTGGTGCTGGATGGTGGGACAACTGTTACTACAGGATTAGTGGTGATGGGTGGTATAAAAATAGATCAGTGGTGCTGGATGGTGGGACAACTGTTACTACAGGATTAGTGGTGATGGGTGGTATACAAATAGATCAGTGGTGCTGGATGGTGGGACAACTGTTACTACAGGATTAGTGGTGATGGGTGGTATAAAAATAGATCAGTGGTGCTGGATGGTGGGACAACTGTTACTACAGGATTAGTGGTGATGAGTGGTATAAAAATAGATTGGTGGTGCTGGATGGTGGGACAACTGTTACTACAGGATTAGTGGTGATGAGTGGTATAAAAATAGATTAGTGGTGCTGGATGGTGGGACAACTGTTACTACAGGATTAGTGGTGATGAGTGGTATAAAAATAGATTGGTGGTGCTGGATGGTGGGACAACTGTTACTACAGGATTAGTGGTGATGAGTGGTATAAAAATAGATTGGTGGTGCTGGATGGTGGGACAACTGTTACTACAGGATTAGTGGTGATGAGTGGTATAAAAATAGATTGGTGGTGCTGGATGGTGGGACAACTGTTACTACAGGATTAGTGGTGATGGGTGGTATAAAAATAGATCAGTCGTACTGGATGGTAGGACAACTGTTACTACAGGATTAGTGGTGATGAGTGGTATAAAAATAGATTGGTGGTGCTGGATGGTGGGACAACTGTTACTACAGGATTAGTGGTGATGAGTGGTATAAAAATAGATTGGTGGTGCTGGATGGTGGGACAACTGTTACTACAGGATTAGTGGTGATGAGTGGTATAAAAATAGATTGGTGGTGCTGGATGGTGGGACAACTGTTACTACAGGATTAGTGGTGATGAGTGGTATAAAAATAGATTGGTGGTGCTGGATGGTGGGACAACTGTTACTACAGGATTAGTGGTGATGGATGGTATACAAATAGATCAGTGGTGCTGGATGGTGGGACAACTGTTACTACAGGATTAGTGGTGATGGGTGGTATAAAAATAGATCAGTGGTGCCGAATGGTAGGACAACTAGATAAGTGGTGGCTTGAAAGTGTCTCTATAAGTGGGAGCTGGATAAAGGAGCTTCAAATTGGTTATCTATTTTATTGGTGCAATGTAGTCAGACCAGTTATTTAAGAGATAATTAAATTCACTATTGATTTAGCTCACGAAATGGCATAAAGGTATGCCTATCAAAATATGTGGTCTACAAAAGCATATCTCATTAAATGTCCCAATACCATATCATAATTGTTCTTTATTATTACATCCTCTGTTGAAAGTCCAAATGTAAGTTCAAACTTAAAGGCAATTCTTACAATTTATTTTTCATCTTCTCATGTCTCTACGTCATTGACTCATTGCAGCTCAAGGATTCGAGAGAACACATCTACTTCTGTGAAAAGTTCTACTATAAACAACAAGAAGACAGAATTACAATCAGTGATACAGGAATAATTGTCAAGTTAAAAACCAAACAAAGTTTTCTGACACGACACTCGGGAAGGATTGCAGATGTTTTAAACATCAGAGCTCTCCTAGTTTCAGTGTAAACTTACATGTTGATGTTTGCAGTCATTGGTTTCATTCTGCAGTATTAACATTTGTATTGTACTCAACAAGTAAATAGTTTCAGTCATCATAAAGGCCAAGGTAAGATGAGATGTGGTTTTGTCCAAGCATTTCTCACAATACTAACATTTTATACTCAATAGTACTCTTTACTTGTTGTAAAAATTCTCCATAACAAACAGCTTTATTGTCGAATGTACACTGTTAAAGCTTTAGCTGGTGCACAACTCACTTGGAACCATCTAACAGCAATTGTCAAAATTTGATATTGTATTGGACTTGGTGAGGTCTAGATATTTAAGGTTGTGTTTTCATTTTTTTTGTAAAGTTTATTTTTTTTTTATTTTTTTTCGTTTTGTCGTTTGATCTACTGCATAGCAGTATGTATTGTTCTTATTGTCGTTGAAAATGCAATGCAAGTAGTTTTGTGCTGTAGGAATTGAAGTATGTGAATTGATGTTAATTTCTCTAATTTGTTACACACTAGAAATGTATTTTCTTGTATCAGGTATAAACCTTGATTATAAACAATGGAGTTGCCATATTAGAATCTAGTCAGGCAAGGTCGTAGTTTTCTCAAACATCAGCTTGTTGCCGAGATTATCTTCCCGTTCCTTGTCGGTTGGTTCCATGTCCAGGTTTAGATTCCTGATCTGTGGAGTGCCCTTAATTCCAATAAAGTCTCGGTCCCTATTCATGTAGCTGTAAGCCCCTGTACATTCACGTTTGGTCAGGCCTTATAATAATCTAGTATCTCTACCTGTAGATATGTCCATCCTAGCTCCCTGTTTATTCTAGTCTTTTCTTTGTAGGTAAAGGTTCATTTGTGAATTACTAAATCGTTATAGTATAGTTCCCTTGGTTCCTGTAATTCCCTCAGTCCAAGTAATCATCCTGGATCCTTTACCTCCCTTGATCTAGATAGTTCCCCTTGTCTATGTGGTTCCCTCTGTCCCCGTAATTTCCTCAAAGCTTGTACCCTGTAGTTCCATTAGTCCCTGTACTTACCTCAGTCCCTGTAACTGTCTCAGTCTCTGTAGTTCCCTTGGTCTATGTGGTCCCTCAAACCCTGTAGTTCTTCAGCCCCTAACTTCTTCGGTCCCATTAGTTCCCTTGGTCTATGTGGTCCCTAAGAACCTGTAGTTATCTCAGTCCCTGTAGTAACTTCCTCGGTCCCAGTAGTTCCCTTGGTCTATGTGGTCCCTAAGAACTTGTAAACTTGTAGTTCTCTCAGTCTCTGTAGCAACTTCTTCAGTCCCAGTAGTTCCCTTGGTCTATGTGGTCCCTAAGACCCTGTAGTTCTCTCAGTCCCTGTAGTAACTTTCTCAGTCCCAATAGTTCCCTTGATCTATGTGGTCCCTAAGACCCTGTAGTTCTCTCAGTCCCTGTAGTAACTTCCTTGGTCCCAGTAGTTCCCTCGGTCTATGTGGTCCCTAAGAACTTGTAGTTCTCTCAGTCCCTGTAGTAACTTTCTCGGTCCCAGTAGTTCCCTTGGTCTATGTGGTCCCTAAGACCCTGTAGTTCTCTCAGTCCCTGTAATAACTTCCTCGGTCCCAGTAGTTCCCTTGGTCTATGTGGTCCCTAAGATCCTGTAGTTCTCTCATTCCCTGCACTTCCCTTGTCTCTGGTTTTTGCACGCATGGCATCAAGTGCCTGTGTAGCTAAGCAACATTTTTTCATCATCTTTCATCCATGTTTCATTGATTGACTTCTACACAATCCTGAGGCCAAATCATATTGGCTCTGGAACTTGCTTTGTTTGGGTGGAGGACTATCAAATATCATCAAATAATGCCACCTGTATCAAATGACCACCTCCATTAACCACCTGTGTTAAGTGACTACTTTTAATGTCCCTGCATTTAAGTGATTTCATTGTAAACTGAACCGATATTAAGAGACCATTTGTATAGGGAGACTACTTTTGGACTTAACAGGAGTGGAATCTTAAAACTGTACAGGTATGACTGTATAGAGTCATTATATTTGACATATAGCCTACTGAGATGAAATGATATCAGTGTGTGTTGTTTAGAAGAATGGCCAAGACCCACTTTCAGACTACCCTGGTTCAGATATTTTAAAGATTTCAAATGACTTTTTCTTCAGAACCATGACCCTTAGAGTCATATTTACTTATGACTTGCTGAGGTAGTTTACGGGGTGGGGGACTGGAGAACTTGTCCATGTAAATGACCTTTGTCCATACAAGCTCACAGAAGTCAGTAATGATAAAAATACAAAAATGTCCTAGCTGCCTTTTGTATTCCACATGTCTGTTGCAGCAGTTCACCAGTGTTTGGTTATGGATGTCCCAAATGTTCAAATATCATACACTTTTAATGTTATACTTTCATTCTCCCTTACATGTAGGTTTGTACATTCTCCCTTACATGTATGTTTGTACATGTAAGGGAGAATGTACAACCCTACAGGTAAGGGAGAATGTACAAACATACATGTAAGGGAGAATGCACAAAATGACATGTAAGGGAGAATGTACAACCCTACAGGTAAGGGAGAATGTACAAACATACATGTAAGGGAGAATGTACAAACGTACATTCTCCCTTACATGTACGTTTGTACATTCTCCCTTACATGTACGTTTGTCTATTCTCCCTTACATGTCATTTTGTACATTCTCCCTTACATGTATGTTTGTACATTCTCCCTTACCTGTAGGGTTGTACATTCTCCCTTACATGTAGGTTTGTACATTCTCCCTTACATGTAGGTTTATACATTCTCCCTTACATGTACGTTTGTACATTCTCCCTTACATGTAGGTTTGTACATTCTCCCTTACATGTAGGGTTGTACATTCACCCTTACATGTAGGGTTGTACATTCTCCCTTACATGTAGGTTTGTACATATGTTTTTTGATATTCTTTGTATATGTGAATACTGTATTTATATAATAATCAGATGTATAAGTAATACAAACGTTGTTTATGCTTCCAACGAAATATCTTGGTAAATTTAATTTTGAAAATAACTTCCTTTGTTTTTCTGATGCAAATGCAATGTAAACTCAATTATTTATATACCGGTATTTGTGTAATAATTGTGTGTCCTTGTTTTAACTTCTGTAAGCTGGTTGTGATCCTGTACAATAACCCTACAGTGTAGCTGGGTCTGTTTATCTTGTGCAATAGTTGTATAGTTTCACACACACCTATATTACTAATATATTCACTGCCATACAATTGCCAGCAGTTGCCTTTTTATATTACTGTTTTTTGTTCTGCTAATTCACTTGTTGTTGATAATTTATTAGTTACCAGGTATTGTTGAACTTTGAAAGAAGTACCAAAGTATGTAAGCCTTATTTATACTATTTAGAAATTGCCTTGTATAGTGATGTATGTACCAGGAACATTAACCAACCCTGTTTACTTACAAATGTGTCGTATTCAACATAAACCGATGTGAAAGTTAGACAACAAATTTACTGTATGAGAATGATGTTTACTTTTTTTTTTTACACCAAACAGGATAGATTCCTATAATCTGTGATAATAGGTTGTAATAAAATTACTGAAAACATTCCATGTATTACCTGGTAATGTCCCTTCAACTAGTGCTACATGTACATCCATTTGGATATGGTACCACACTGACCTGCATATGCCCATGTGTACTCCTCTTTGGCCATTAGTATATATATATATATATGTATGTAAGTTATTGTAGGTAACAGAATAACTCAGATTATGCATTTTTTATTTAGAAATATTACAATATTAGCTGAACTATTTTGAACTTTTTCCGTTACTAGTACTCACAAACACAGAGAATAATACTTCTCCCTTAGAAGCAGTCAATTCTACCTTCTCCAAGCAAACACTTTTATTAACTGAAGTGAATTTCGGCCACTTAAAATATTGCGCAAATTGTCTTTTAGTCGCACATTATGTTAACTAACAAGTAGTGTGTTTTTGTAGCTTTGTTTAATTTCCTTAATAGCTATAATGTAAATAAGATAAAGACAGTGTTCTGGACTGTATCTGAGATATCATAGATGGAGACCTTTAAACATCCAAGGGGTATATTTGATTCAAGCTTTGGAGATATTGAATCTGTTTTTTAAATCTTGATTTTATAAGCACATGTTATCTATCACACTGTAAAATTCCTGTGGACCAAAACTGTAATTAACCATATACTACTTTTGTCTGTGAAGACTCCTTGGATAAAATGAAATCAATAACTCGGGGTCGCCTTCACTATTCTAGCTCGGGGCCGCCTTCACTGTTCTAGCTCGGGGTCGGCCTTCACTATTCTAGCTCAGGGTCGGCCTTCACTGTTCTAGCTCGGGGTCGCCTTCCCTAATCTAGCTCGGGGTCGCCTTCACTATTCTAGCTCGGGGGTCGGCCTTCTCTATTCTAGCTTGTGGTCGGCCTTCACTGTTCTAAATCGGGGTCGGCCTTCACTATTCTAGCTCAAGGTCGGCCTTCACTGTTTAGCTCGGGGTCGCCTTCACTATTCTAGCTCGGGGTCGCCTTCACTATTCTAGCTCGGGGTCGGCCTTCTCTATTCTAGCTTGTGGTTGGCCTTCACTATTCTAGCTCGGGGTCGCCTTCACTATTCTAGCTTGTGGTCGGCCTTCAATATTCTAGCTCGGGGTCGCCTTCACTATTCTAGCTCGGGGTCGCCTTCACTATTCTAGCTCGGGGTCGGCCTTCTCTATTCTAGCTTGTGGTTGGCCTTCACTATTCTAGCTCGGGGTCGCCTTCACTATTCTAGCTCGGGGTCGGCCTTCTCTATTCTAGCTTGTGGTTGGCCTTCACTATTCTAGCTCGGGGTCGCCTTCACTATTCTAGCTCGGGGTCGGCCTTCTCTATTCTAGCTTGGGGTCGCCTTCACTATTCTAGCTTGGGGTCGGCCTTCTCTATTCTAGCTCGGGGTCGCCTTCACTATTCTAGCTCGGGGTCGGCCTTCTCTATTCTAGCTTGTGGTCGGCCTTCACTATTCTAGCTCGGGGTCGCCTTCCCTATTCTAGCTTGGGGTCGCCTTCACTATTCTAGCTCGGGGTCGGCCTTCTCTATTCTAGCTCGGGGTCGGCCTTCACTATTCTAGCTCGGGTCGCCTTCCCGATTCTAGCTCGGGGTCACCTTCACTATTCTAGCTCAAGGTCGGCCTTCACTATTTCTAGCTCAGGGTCAGCCTTCACGATTCTAGCTCAGGGTCGCCTTTTGTGGTTCTGGTTTTCGTAGTGTATGCACGTCATTCCAGTGAGGTTTGAGACTTGTAGCCACTCCTTCTCTCTTCCTCTCCTGCATGGTCTGAATTTTGAAACATGAGAAACTGATAGAGTGTTGTCAATTTTCCTTTGAAACTTGTGTGTTTCTGTATAATTTACCAGGTAAGGCATTTAAGAAAAGGGAAAAAAAGGAAAAAGAAATATCTTGTGTTGTTAAACTAAATGGTTATCCGTGCTACTCCTTTCAGACAGTAATGACATTCCTATACAATTACTTCCATTACTTAGTGCTGTATATCCAGACATTTTTATATTATTTCCGTTTGTATTTGTCAAATAACCATTGCCAATGTCTAATTCTGATTTCTTTTTAATTACTGATTCTATCACATACATGTATATCAATGAGACATTGTTATCAACCTTTAATAAACTACTTTAAGAATTGAATGTTTTACATTGCTTTCAATACTATCGACATGGCAATACTAGATCTATTTTAGCGTTCATCTTCTATGCTTGAGTGTTGGTAGTTTTAATATCTTTAATATCCTTAATCTGTGATCATAGTTCAACTCCTTCATACCCGGTATTTGTTTAGTCGCTCTTCTTTGTACATTTTCCAGTTCATTTATGTGTTTTTGTAGGTATGGATTCCATACGCTGGCCCCATATTCCAGGTGCGGTCTTACAAGCGCGTTATACAAAAGGCAGAATGTTGTATTGTCTAAATATGTGTTAGTTCTTCGGATAGTTCCCATTATTCTGTTTGCTTTATTGACCGAATCGTGGATATGATCGCTGAAATTTAGGTGATTGTCCGTAATAATTCCTAGATCCTTTTCTTTTGTTATGTTTTCCAAAGTGACATCGACCCTCCCATCTTCCGTATCTTTATACAAATGTAGTGGCGCGTTGTTTATGTTCTTTCCTAAGGTTAATAATTTACATTTGTCGGGTGAAATTTTAACAACCATTTATCTGACCATTCTTGGAGCTGGTCAAGATCATCCTGTAGGGTAATATTTTGATCATAATTCTAAATTTGTGTATCATCTGCGAACAAGAATGTTGCTGCGTTGATTGTTTCTGGGAGGTCATTTATGTAGATTACAAATAAGGATGGCCCTAAAACACTACCCTGTGAAATCCCACTAGTTACCTCCATCCATTTAGATGTTTCACCATTGACTGAGACTCTCTGCTTCCGGTTTGTTATGAAACTGTGTATCCACCGTACAATTTCCGGTGATAGTCCGTATGATCTTAATTTGCCTATTAAACGTAAGTGGGGAACAGTGTCAAAGGCCTTCGTAAAATCAAGTAAACTGTTTGGATTGATCATCCTTGGTCGAGAGCCTCCGTCCAGTCGTCAATTACTTTTAACAGCTGAAGTACAGTTGATCTACCTTTTCCGAATCCATATTGATGTTTACTCAGAAGTTGATTTCTCTCCAAATGGCTCATTATTCTTGTTCTTATCATCTTCTCCATAGTTTTACATAGTACACTGGTCAGACTTACAGGTCTATAGTTCCCGGGATTTTTCTTATCCCCTTTTTTATGGATGGCGGTTCTCTGTCCCTCCTTCCAGCTGGCTGGAAGTTCTCCTGTCTCTAGAGATTTGTTGAATATTTCACACAATGGTGTTTATTATATCAGCAGTTTCTTTTAGTACTTTAGGGTGGATGGTATCTGGTCCCGGTGATTTTGCAGGATTTAAAGTTTTTAAGACGGTTAATATTTCTGCCTCCGTTATTTTAGTATTATGGTATGGAGTTGTTATATTGATATCTGTTAGAACAGGTATACAGTTTTGGAAGGTCATTGGATGACTTGACTCTTACAGTGCAAATTGAATGGTTAACGGGTTTTTCCAAAGTATATGAAATGAGATACGAACGTATCCAGCTACCAGCTGTGCGCAGACCCAAGCCACTGATTTAAAAGTGTTTTTTGTGCATTTTTTTTGTATATAAGAAAACAAGGTCGATGGCATACTGACGGCTGCAGGTAGCCAAGAGTCAAATAGATTGTACTCTGGACCTAAAAGTGGGCAGTTCTTCAAGTTCTAAGTACAGATGGTTCTATTGAAGGACGAGGTCCAGTCGCGCTGGTATCTGTTAGTAGTGGAGGCTACCTCTTCCGATTCTAGAATCTGGTAGCTTTAATAACAATATGTTGAGGATCATCAGAACTCTAGATCTAACTCTCATTAATTCCAACAAGGCCCAGCCGATGTGTTGTAGAATGGCGGTCACACTGCCCACAGAGACCCGAGAATTTGTTTCAGCTATGTTTGGGTCTTAACTTAGGTGTTCAGGGTAATTTTACATGTTTTGAGGGGTTAAGATCGATTTTCAGGAAAAATGACGCCCCAGTGATTATATATAGCATTTTTACCGAAAATCGATCTAAACCCCTAAACATGTAAATAGAGCTGTAACAGGTTCTCATGTCCCTGTGACACTGCCCAGTTCCCTCGATTTGTGGTCGCCTGCTTCAAATATTGTGTGTAAGGGTCCCAGGATGAGACGCATATTCCCATGTTGAGGGGACAAGTGTGGTGAATGCACGGGCTTTGACATGACAACACACTTCTCGGGGTTGAATTGCGTTTGTCCTCCCACTTTTGTGGATGTTCCAAGTCTTTTTAGACACATAGACTAGCGAATAGACGTACGTTAGAGTCCACAGATTCTGGCATGTCGTTGATGTACAACAGGAAAACTAGCAGACAAACTGATGTTCTTGAAGCCGGACCCCTGACCTTACATCATAAATGGATTCCTTCGACAACCACGGGTTGTTTTCTTGATGTGCAAAATGTCCCCGAGCAAGCCGTGGATGCTGTTGCGAAATCTAAAGTGCTGTATTTCCTTGAGTAGTTTCTGGTGGAGCACTTTATCGAACGCCTAGCACGAGATTCATCTGGGCACCTCCGTCGATGGCGCTATAGCTTCTTCTTCAGCGGAAGTCTTGCTGACACGGGGTTTCGACTTTAACCAAAACAGTATATATGTATCTTATGCATGACCTATAATGATAATTTGATTCTAGTTGCCGCAAGATTAACACAAAAATCACGTACCGGTACTATGGTCAACTGTACTGGGTTTGCGATGTGAGAGGATTATTAAGAGATGAATCGAAACAACTTCACTCTTCAACTTTTCATTTTATTCCCGGAACAGGAAGTCAAACAACAAAACATAGAAACAAGATACGGAGACGGAATACAATAATACACAAAAACGGTTAGTTCCGGATATTCTATTAAAGGTTATAATATAATATATACCATGTATATAACACAACGTCCAAGAATCAAAGTTCTACCAATATGGTTAGAATATAAACCTCTACAGTCAGGATATGGCCTAAACACATCTATACTACGGTGAATAAACGGCATACGTATATTTAAACTTGGGAGGTCATGTCATCGAAACTTGGTCGGCCTAGTTACCTCCCGTTGAACGAGAATTACAGTTTTTTTACATAGTTGTTATCTTTTTGTGAAGGTTTGGTGTAAGGCGGCGTGTTGTTTTGAACACAACACATTAAGACATTTTCAAATTCTTTAACCCGTGTTTTACAACCTTATGCTAGAGATCGGAATATTAGTCGGTCATGTACCGGTGTGCACAGGTTCCTAACACAGGGATCTGAGAATTTGTTACAGCTATATCTGTACCTCAACTGAGATGTACAGAATTTAGACGCTCACCAAAGGCCAAAATTAGCTGTAACAAATTCTCATGTCCATGTAGTTCCTTCCGAGAATTCGAATAAAAGGAAAACTGAACGAATGAAGCTGGACCACATTTACTCTTCCTTTAGAGGATGCACACCCCTCTCCTTTATACGTTTTCCGATCTGTGCTACGGTTCCAGCACCTACCCCAACAATTGCTGGTCTTAATTATACCACGGACTTAGATAACATGTAATTAATTATAAAGTAGATCGAAACATTAACAAATGTTGCCGACAGGGCCGTTATCTACGATCCGAAAAGATTACATGGATGAGAGCAGTGGTGACAACAACTTCTATATAAAGGATACACAGGACTGGTGCTTCGCGCCATATCCTTCAATTTATCGGACTTGAGCAAGGCTAGTGCTACAGGTGATACGCGACATCAACGTTAATACCTTGTAGCACTAGGAGTAGTAATGCCGTAGTCAGGTGCGATAATATGTTGAATGTTTGTTAGCGGAACGCAGCTAGATGCTAAATCGAAAAGCAAGAAAATCGCCATTCGTACGGTTAAGTTTATATCTGTCAGCACGTTAACTATGTACATTTAATCAATAATGTATCCCGACTAAGAATAAATGAATTTTACTTTTAATTACTGGAGATATTAACGAAAAATGATTCAAGTCAACACACGATAAAAGGCAACATTCTTTCGATTGTTTTACTATGAACGTTGTAATATAGAACGCGGATATCATGGTTTATAATACAAAAGGTACACGTACAGTAGGGCACGTAGCGTATGTTTACATAACTCATACTAGTATCCAGTTTGAAAATACACAGTACACTATTTGAACCTATATGATCACAGTGTTGTACAGCACAGACGTATAATCATCAAGCTAAATGCTGTTACAGTGAGTGCCGTAAGTCTTTCACGTTACGTCATTGGATTCTAACTTATGTTGATTTACTGGGAGGGGGTTCAAATTATTTCCGTCACTTCGTTTAACATCCCAATTTGATATAACTTACTATCCTGTTGTATAATTATCCCGTGTTTATTGTGGTAATATTTATATTATTGTCCGTGATTCTGTTATCGAGATATCATCCCAGCATACATGTTATATTTTGACGTCATTTCCATGAACACATTGCTAAATTTTGCCATAAAAATTGCTTTGGTCCATTCACTCATTATGGTTAGAATTTGAGATAACCGCCGGCGATCTATAAATATAACCAATAGAAGCGCAGGGTAATTCTTTACCTTTTTAAAATATCATCATTTTTGACTTAAAGTGAAGTAATAAAATAGAATTATTGTTCGAAAGTTAATTAATTAATATGACATGATGGGAAAATGGCGTAACTTGGAAGACATAATGCACGTCACCGTACGTCGTAAGCTTTTCAATATGTTAAGTCACAGTACTATTTTGTAGTAAAGAGTCACCACTGTTGCTAAATGTCAGTCTTCAGAAGCTTTCCAAATAATAATTATTATTGTGTTCCTGCTACATACCTTTTCTGTATATTAAAAAATCACAAATGTGTCCAAGCTAAATATTAACATAGCAAAGTCTGTGTAATTAAGTACTCAATGTTCAATCAAAAATTAAATAATTTAATTTAACTCTATCGTGTCCAACCACAAAATGTTCAATCAAAAATCAAATTACGTATATTTAACTTTATCGTGTCCAACCACACACCTTGCAGTTAAAGCCACACACATAGCAAGTTCTGTGTCCATAGTTACACGGCGCGTGATTGTTCCGCAGATAGTGATGGTCATTGTGCCCCCTAGGTGGTCTATGATTAGTTGTACTCCTTGATTGGTCGGGGCTGTCGGCGGTGACCCTGCTGGCTGTACTGGACTTTCTTTTTGCGGTAGTTGATCGGACGGATGGTGTTGAAATCAAAGTAGCTACACTGATATTTATCGTTCTCCTGCACCTGTGGACAGATGGTCTGGAACTTGTAGCCAAAGTGTATCTCCTCTGGAATGTAAGACGTCCTTACCTGGACAGTCATGCTGGTTGATTCAATGACACCTTCCAAGAGCACAACCAATTCGGAGAATCCTCCAAACTCGTCCAATTTCTCCGGCGGCCATAGCGGGCTGTTGACGTCAATATTGTGATACATAACGGCAGGCCAAAGCAGAGTTAGGACGTCACTTCCGCCCTCTGATTGAAAGTCAATAAAGCTTTGCTGCAGATATTCTTTCCCTTCGTTATCAGCACTGCGTCGGACCATGATGCCAGTGGCTTTAGGCCCCAAGAGTTGCGAGCGCCGGAAGTCGCCGACTCTGATCATGAGTCGCCATTGTCCATCGACAACTCCAATGCAGGCCTTGCTACTAAACACAACGGTCTCCCCGCGACACTTTGACCGTTGCAATTTAGTGAAAACGAGAGCAGCCGTCAAACAGTGGACGGCCAACCCAACCACAAATTGGAAAAATACCGTCAGTACGGCGTGTGGACACTCTGACGTGAGGCCCCGGTAGCCGTATCCAATTGTGTGTTGGGTTTCTATAGAAAACAGGAAGGCACTTGTAAAGTCAAATACGTTATAAATACATGGTGTTTCATCAGAATCTTCCCCGAGGCTGATGATCTCGGGGTCGTTATGAGCTATACTATAGCCGTAGTACAACAGAGCGAACACCAACCAAGTCAATATGAATCCCATAACGAAGATAATAAATGACCAACGCCATTTTGCGTCTACTAAAGTTGTCAGAGCATCCCTGAAGTAATGTGATATAATAAATTTGTTTCCACTGTCCAGTTTGACCCGAAATGTCCCTTGTTTAGTGACCACTCGGTGTTTGCTGTTATTGGAATCAAAATCGGAGCATCCGTCAGGAAGTACCGACATTCGCATCATCGTTACAGAGATCCGATTATTCACCGTCCTATATTGGTACAGCACGTACCTCTATAGGACATCCATCACTTACACACAAACCTTAACGCTTGGTATACTGCCTGATGACAGTTTTGTTTCTGACAACGGATGTCTACTACGCTGAAGTGACCACTTATGGCGTACTATTTTCAGGTGTGGTATAGTCTACCTGTACAGGTGAGTAATGGGCGGTGATTATTTTGACACACGTGTAGACTGACATGTGAGATATGTAAAACCTGCCACTCACATTGCACCAGCAGATGTTAACATTTACTTTTTCAACAAGGACGAGCATGCGCAAGACACAAACACTATCATCAACGGGCGTGTTCGCGGAAGTGTTCATAGAAAACTGGCAGGAATTTACTGGAAAATATTCCCTAACACTCCACGAGGAAACAAAATAAAAGTATATGATTTATATAATGATAAAATGATGATATCAAAGAAAACGGCAAAACATCATTCAAGTCTGATCATTTTTACTAACGCCCTCCATCCTTTCGTCTCAATTGGCCCATGGTCCAATCAGATTGAGCGTAATGTATAACCCTAAAACATCTGAGTTGGGCCGTGACATGTGTAAAGAATACATTATCGGTACAACAACGTGACACTTACACGTACAGGTATTATATACATCGTTATGGAAATAAGGGCCGTTTTATTCCAGGAAAACCCGGCTTCGTGACAGTCGTAACCACCCACAAGTCAGCGTGACGGACACTGTATACGAGACGTTGCCTAAAGCGGTACACACATTTATAACTAAACGAAAAGTCCGAAATGAATGGATACGCCTCTCCTTCATCGCAATAACTCAACTGATAATCAAGCAAAACATCAAACCGCTTGTTTGATCAATATCTAATATTTTTGAATTATCATTAAGTCCCGAGCTAGAGATAAGGAGATAACTAACGAAATGGGGTTGATAGTTACCATTGAGTTTGTACGAAATGATAGTGATTGGGAAACCTGGAGTAACCATTCGGAGTCCGTACGAAACGGAATTGGTTCAATGAAGTTGACACCGTTGTAAGCGTTGAACCATAGATTATGTACGAAACTAAGTGGTCTATAGGGAAACCAAGAGTAACCAGTGAATTCGTACGAAATGGGGCTAATGGGGAAACCAGAAATGGTTCATTCCCAGATATCTATGATTTTGGGCTAATCCTTACCAGTACATTAGTTGTTTCATTATTACAGGACTGATAAAACTGCAATCCAGGTCCCATCAGAACAGGATATATGGAACAAACAGGACAATGGCTACGTAGGGTGTATACAGGTGTGAAGGGACAAACATGACCATGGTTAGGTAGGGCTTATACAGGAGTGAAGGGATAAACAGGACCTTGGTAAGGTAGGGCTTATACAGGAGTGAAGTACAAACAGGACCATGGTTAGGTAGGGCTTATACAGGACTGAAGGACAAACAGGACCATGGTTAGGTAAGGCTTATACAGAACTGAAGGGACAAACAGGACCATGGTAAGGTAGGGTTTATACAGAACTGAAGGGACAAATATGACCATGGTTAGGTAGGGATTATTTAGGACTGAAGGGACAAATATGACCATGGTTAGGTAGGCCTTATACAGAACTGAAGGGACAATATGACCATGGTTAGGTAGGCCTTATACAGAACTGAAGGGAAAAACAGGACCATGGTTAGGTAGGGCTTATACAGTACTGAAGGGACAAATAGGACCATGGTTAGGTAGGGCTTATACAGTACTGAAGGGACAAAAATGACCATGGTTTGGTAGGGCTTATACAGAACTGAAGGGAAAAACAGGACCATGGTTAGGGAGGATTTATAGAGGATTGAAGGGTCAAACAGGACCATGGTTAGGTAGGACTTATACAGGACTGAAGGGTCAAACAGGACCATGGTTAGGGAGGATTTATAGAGGATTGAAGGGTCAAACAGGACCATGGTTAGGTAGGACTTATACAGGACTGAAGGGGCAAACAGGACAATGGCTAGGTAGGGCTTATACAGGACTGAAGGGACAAACAGGACCATGGTTAGGTAGGGTTTATACGGGACTGAATGGACAATTAGGACAATGGCTAGATATAATTTATACAGGTCTGAAGAGACAAGCAATACTACACCTGAATCGGTTATCAAACAGGATCAATGATGCAACCAGCAAGAAGAGCATTGATGAAAACCTAGTGTTTTTTTTTATTTTACTGAAAAGAGACATTCTTAGCCATTTTGAAACTCAGTCGGCGAAATCTTCTGTTGAATCATTTGTGAACCATTTTCATTTTAATGACGTCACACGAGTCTTGCTACCTATTAACATGTCTGTGGTATGTGACCATTATTTCATCATGTGGCATAAACTGACATTATGGTCGTTAGAAAACATGGAGTAACTAATATATGACGTAATTTTCATTTACATAATGCATAAGACCGTTGGATATCTGGTGACAGGCACTCACAGCTTATATGGCAATAATAACAAAGAAATGTATGTTCCGTTTAATTATACATCATAATCTTTGACAAGGTGAATGTGCTTGGTCAGCCACTTGAACTTTGACGAGCTGGATGACATTCTGTACATGTCGTATGTGGCATGCTGACGTGTTTTATAATGAGAGAATGCAACAAGATGACGTATAAAAGGTATGTAATGTTCAGTGAAAAAATGAGTTATAATCTTCAAAAGCAAATTGGGCACGTCATGGCAAATCAACATAGTCACAATAACAACAACATTTCTACCACATTTACTCCTGTTTATTAATCCCGGGCCTTCCATTAAACAACAGAGGGATTGGCTAAACAGACGTGTAGAACAATGTGGACGATTGAAGATTGGCGCCCTTTGACTTTTACTTCTCCTCCAATGCGCACGTTCATATCTACGATGGAGGTATGCATTTTACTAGTGGTTCGCTTTCACAAACACTTATTAAAATGGAAAAAATGAGAAAGAATAGACCTATTAAAAAACAAATTGTGTATTGAGTGTAAATATGGTTTAGTGATGTTTGCATACCAACAAGTAAACTGACCACTCCAGGGAAATTCCTACGCTATACGACTGTTGTTTGTTAAACAGCGATGTCGATCACTCGAAAATATGATAAATAATAATAGTAGAAGAAAGAAATTCCACAAATCGTGTTACACTGCACTTAATCATGTTTTCTTTTAACATTTGAAAATTAACTAACTCGAGTTAGAGAACTATGTTACACTTATTTGTCGTGGGACATCTGTACTTTCAACAGTCTACTGTATATCTTTGGTGGGTGGGGTTATTGGGTGTTACTTGAGTTTTATTTGTGAGTGTACTTGGATTTTGCCTTCTGATTTAATTGGAGATTATCTACTAGTTAATATGGGGATTATCTATTAGTTAACAAAAGGATTATCTACTAGTAAACATGGGGATATCTACTAGTTAACATGGGGATTATCTACTAGTTAACATGGGGATATATACTAGTTCACCTGGGGATATTTACTAGTTAACATGGGGATTATCTACTAGTTAACATGGGGATTATCTACTAGTTAACATGGTGATATATACTAGTTAACATGGGGATATTTACTAGTTAACATGGGGATTATCTTCTAGTTAACAACTGATTATCTACTAGTTAACACGGGGTTATCTACTAGTTAATATAGGGATTATCTACTAGTTAACATGGGGATTATCTACTAGTTAACATGGGGATTATCTACCAGTTAATATGGGGATTATCTACTAGTTAATATGGGGATTATCTACTAGTTAACAAACTGATTATCTATTAGTTGACATGGGGATTATCTACTAGATTAGTTGGAGATTATCTTGGGCTACTGTTTACTTGGGTTTTATTTGTTAGTGTATTTTGATTTATCTACCGGATTATTTGGGTTTTATCCGCAAATAAATTTCGTTAAAAAAACCCACATACGTTCCGACTTTGATGTTAAAATCTCGTGCAATGTTTCTTTTATGTTATTCTGTTCGCTTCAAAAATCTTTAACAATTATTCAAATATGTATAGTCCATGTGTTAAGCCATGTCATCAATGGAAATTGGCAACGGTTTCTATTAACGAACAATCTAATACAACGGTCAAGGAAGGACATTACGTTGGTCATTCAGCCAAGCCTTCTGGTTTCTGTGTAGTTTCCCCCTAATATGTCGGTTTTCTTGCCAACCATTTCTGTCTCGCTCGTTTCTGGACAGATGACATGTGTAAACAAATGATGTGACTTCACGCTCTGATTGAAACAGAATATAATTTATCCAAACCCGGCATTCATATTTATCCCCACAGGTTGATCACAACACAGCGGCCTGTCTACGTATCACAGTGGCCATTCCCGAGCGTCATGCTATCAAACCCGACCTTCATAGTATACAACACTGTTCTTCCTTTTACATAAGCTTGATCTTCATATTGGCAATATTAATCTTTGTATTGATAAACTTGACATTTGCATATTCATAACATGACAGTATTGCCCGAACATGACATTATCTTGCCCAAACATGACATTGTATTGTCCAAACATGATATTGTATTGTCCAAACATGACATTGTATTGTCCAAACATGATATTGTATTGTCCAAACATGGCATTGTATTGTCCAAACATTTAAGCATTGAACTGCTTTCAGTTGGCATTTATAGGCAATATGAATAGCGCGCTTCAAGTTGGATTTACCTTTGTCCAGTTGGAATTCATTTTTCCTATGAATGCCAACTGAAAGCAGTTCAATACTTATATTTACCATTTTTGGAATCTGTTTATCTCATAGAAAATTCAATTACATTTACTATTATTCAACATTTAGTTTAAATAATGTAGTATCGTGTATGCTTGTTTAATAAATAGAACAGCCATCGCCCAGGGAGGGTCAGTGGTATCCAACGCATTCCTCCAAAACATGGCATAAGAGTTCAATCCACGCATCGTCCAAACCAAACCTTACATACATGTTCTCCTACCTTTTGATTATTATTGTTCGAGCTTACCTTACACATTGTCCGTGCTGACTGTCGTCGTACTAGTGGTAATATAAGAGTATCTATTGTTCAATCAGTATCTTTATCTTGACAAAATTCGAAGTATCGTAGTATAAAGGCAAAACCTTCCATGTTGAAGATCACGTAAAC